AATCCTGCTCATTTAGCTCATTATTGCGATGCTGGGGCCGCAGAAGGATAGGCATATTCGTGTAATACCAACTGCAGCGTTAGACGGACGAGATTTGAAGTGGATTAAAGTATCAGATACTAAGGGTTGCCATCTTATGACAGTGGGAGCGGGAAACTCTTCCGACCCATGTCACTATTTTTGTGCTGCAGTGAAGAAAACTGTGAGTTACTATCGACATTACTTTTTTGTCTTATTCCGTTTACTTCTTCATGAATTTTGAACCTTTATCTAGGTCTTAGTGTTTTTGATTGATCGAAGCGAAAAAAGGCATAGAAAGATGCGGGAGTTAGCTATGCCTGGACAGCCACAAACACTGTCTATAATTCAAGGGAAGCTTTGTGTTGGCTATCCATCTGGTTTTCGCATGTGGGATTTGATCGATAACACCACTACTGGTATGAAAGATATCTCAATTTTGATACTAGTTGAGGAGCAGTAGTGTGAGCTGAACTAGTTTTGAGGTTCGGTTTTATTTACATTTTCTAGCGCTAGTAAACTTGGAAGACGCATCTTTACAATTTTTAAATCAAACTCTCTATGATGCGCAGCTCATTGTGAATGTAAGCGGGTATGAACAAAAGGAATTTTTGCTGGTATTTTCGAGGCTGGGCGTCTATGTTGATGCGCAAGGCAAGTTTCATTCAAGCATTGAAATTAAAGTTTTTCAGTTGTACTATTGGCGAAGAGCTCATACGTCTTTTAAATTATGTACCAAGGCAAATTTCACAGAACCTTTCAGGATGAATGTTAAAGGTGCTGCTTAAAGCCAGTTACTATACAACAAAAAGTTTTTTAGGTCGTCGGTGTCGCTCCCAAGAGTTGATGTTTCCCTCTGAAGCAACTGCTGGAGGATTTGTTTGCTCTCCTCCGCACCTTTGTGTATATTCTGAACATCAGATTGATGTTTTCAATGTCAGCACTGCTGAATGGGTACAAACTATTAATTTAAGAAAGGTGAGGATGGGGTTTCATTTTTTTTGTTTGCCGTGAGAGTGAAGTTTTATTTAGGCTTTCTATTCGTAAATGTCCTCGATATTAACTTCTGGTGCAGCAGTGGTGAGCTGGCAACAGAAGTCATTTGATATGCTAATGAATTTCGCATATTTTTAGGCTTTCCCGCTTACTAAAGATGGTGTTTTATCAGTGTGCATGGTGAATGATCTTCCGTATGTGGTACTTTTGTCAGATATTCTCTCAGGTTAGTCGTAACAGGAAACCAATAGTTTATCGCACTACTTTTGTGAACATACCCTCTCAATTTTTAGATGAAGACGTTCTTACGGTGCAACTCTGGCCGGCATCTAGCGTGTCGCAGAATTCTGCAACTTCTTTAACGAAGAACATTAGTGGGTCCAAACGTCGAAGGAGATTTTCTATCAGGACTTCGAAGGATGATGAAAGGCATGGAAAGTGAGGACTGATCGAAAGCTTAATTATTGGTTTGGCTAAAATACTTCACTTTTTTGAACTGTGTACAAAAGCTTTTTAAGGCCGGGCGACAGACGTAGTCAGTTACATATAAGTAACCCCTCCGATTTTGTGCATATTGTTCATATGGGCCCTGGTCCTGGATTTCAAACTAGAGGCCTCGTGGACCTAAAACCTGATGGCAGCCATAATGCTTCTACTAACTCTAGCTCGGGTGGTGCTGCAGATAAGGTGAGTAGCAACAGTTGTTTTTATCTGTTTATTGCTTTAATTTACTTGGTTTCATTAATTTAGTTATATTTGACTCATGTTTTCTAGGTAAGGCAGTTACTTAATCCCATAATGAGGTCAAGCAGTTCTACTAGCGCAGCTGTTCATAGTGTTCATGGCTCAAAAAAGGACTTTGAACATATACAGTCTAAGGGACGACCTCTCAGCTCACACAGCAAGAGCTCCGAAGGTAAGCAATTATTAAAAAAACTTTTGGCACTAATTACTTGTTCAATTTGTGTGTCCAAATCTGTTGACCGTGGTAAATGGAATGAGAAGGTTAATGGAGTTCTGGATGTTAGTGTAAATGTCTGTTGTTCCTGCTTAAGGTCTCCGGAAACTTTTTGCGCCTTCATTCGGAAGTTTTAGTTAATCGTGTGCGTTAGCGTTTTTGTTCTGTCAATGTTTAATTAAGTGCTTGTATTATGTTCTTTGTATTTCACTTGTTTGTCCTTTTTTTTTTCTTTTTTTTTTTTTTTTTTTTTTTT